TAATAATAATTTAAATATAATTTTATAATTTAAAATATAATTTAAATATTCTATCGTTTCATATTTGACTTAAAAATAATTTCGTTTAATTCATGCACTAATGCCTTTTCCTCCTTGACAAATTTCTAAATCCATCAGCCGTACAGATCTGAAAATAATTTTGTCCGTTTATCAGAAATAATTATGTAGAACGTTTAAGCATAATAAGCGAAAAATTTTAATATTGTAGCGATTAGTTTGAGAGTCCTCCATATTTTGATAGTTCTTTTGATTCTAACGAAATTATCTTCAGATCTGTGTGTGTGTGTGTGTGTGTGTGTGTGTGTGTGTGTGTGTGCGCGCGTGTGCGCGTGTGCGCGTGTGTGCGTGTGTGTGTGAATCTAGTTAAATTTTTAATACTTCAGCAAAATCATTTTTCCCTGCCATACTGTGCACGCGCTGAAGCAAGTTATATATTTTCTTCATTGTTTTCTTCTTTGCAGGAAAATCGCCCTGGTCATCATACTTGTCAAAGCAGGCTTGGATCTCGATCCGGTTGCTCTAAAAAAGTTAAAAGTAACCGTACCGAAGCTGGGTTTGATACCGTGGGTAGTGGAAACTATAGTGATTGCCGTGTCAACGAAATATCTCTTGGATTTGCCATGGGTATGGGGTTTCCTCCTTGGAAGCGTCATAGCAGCCGTCTCGCCAGCCGTCGTGGTGTCTTGTCTCTTCAGGCTACGTGCAAAGGGTTATGGAGTTGCCAAGGTAAGGCCACTTATTCTTGGTATCCTTTGTTGGAATATTTGAATATTCACCCATTGCGAAATCTTCTCGTCTTTCATTCGTTCAAGAACGGATCATAAGTCTTCTGGAACTAATTTCACCCGACTTCCGCGCATTAGGTAGTAAAGTAGATTTATACTAGATCTAGATTTTAAGCGGATGATAAATGGCGCGAGTTAACATAATTTTCCCTTAAGAATAATTGAGATTTACTACCATCCAAAGACGTTTATCGACGCACCGACCTGACATCACTGATGTCTTTTTCCACGATCTTACGATATATATCATATATATATCTTACGATATATATTTTCTCGTCATACCTGTATCTGTTCGTAAACGTAATTATAATTCTATTGATGTCTACGATTAAAAAATTTATGTGAAAATTGAAAAGAACAGAGCACTCTCTAGAAGCATTTAGAAAAGTAAATGTAGAAAAGTATTATGTACATGATGTGGATGGTAGACTATGATTATCGCGAGTGTCATTAAGTTAATATTTAATCGTAATTGCGCGATTATAATTGGATTACATCGTGGTTCATGTTTTATATTAATCGGATACATCCCTGCAAAGCGAATTTATATAGCAAAGCATATACGGCCGCTATGTTTGATGCGCTCGACATTAGCGTATTAGAGGAGTTTCCATGTTAATGAACGCAACGCGAGAGTAATTAAATTTCTTTCGTTATGCGCCAGCGCGATAACCATGAAATATTTTAGCCGAGGCGGAATATCGTTCTTGCGAAACCAATTTCGCAAATACGTGTGGCACGATATTTCGCATGCTGCGCTTCGCGAATCGCCAAATCAAGATTTAGGCCGGTCTGCGGGCATTCCGCTGCACGCAATCGTACGTGACTTTCCTCCTCGATCTAATTACCGAGCGTGTCGGAAGACCATCCGGAAGATTAAGCGAATTTGCAAAACACTCGGGATGCGTAGCAGTGATGTAAAGGGCGATATTCGGCATGATAGGGTCGAGGTCTGCACAGCGGGATGAAGACGAAACAAAGGGAAACGTACCGGACTTAAATAATTCAGCTTGGAAAATGGAGCGGAAGATGCTTGAAGAGTACAAAGACCATTGCGGCGAATGTGATATTCATGAGCCAAAAGATCTAGACGATACTTCTTCATTTAGCGGAACGTAATGTAACGCGACCAGAGGAGGAAGATGGTCTCGACGTGACGTTGATTCGTGGCCAGTGCCACTAATACTCGTCAACCGCGAGATCGAAGATTCTTATCGCGTCGCGAATGGAAAACCTCAGACGTTGACCGATCGTAGTTGTGTAAGCTCATGAGCATCCTTATTTCCACGAGTATCCGCTGGTACCCACGGGACGCGGACACGCAGTGAGCGAAAGGGAGCTGATCTCGAGCTGCGATCTATTAAACAGCATCTATAATGAGATTTTAAGTTAGTAAAAGAACTTAAATTTTAAGTCTTAAGAAATTAATCAATCATAGTCGAATGTCAAGAGAAAAACTGATTATGATTGGTAAAGTTGCCAGTGTTACCACATTAAAATTAAAACTTGCAGACCAAAAATTCCATTTTACTTATAACCTCAGATTTTTTTTTACAAAAATGCGTGTAAGTTAACAAAGTTGATCAAAACAATCAATGAACAATTATTATTTCATATTTGAATATTTAGCGCAAAGAGCAATTAGAAAAAATAAATAGAATGTTTTTATTTAAAATAAAAAGTTTTATTATAGATTCAGAATGTAATGTATCTTTATGTGTTTTGTTTTCATATTTTTGAAATATCAAAATAAATAAATAAAATAATCATAAATAAATAAATACACAAATATAAAGTATATTAAAGAATTCATACACATTAATAAAAATAGTTTAGACAACTGATTTTACTTTTTTCCACATCGTAAATCAGTCAAAGAAACATTTTAATTGCGATCACATGGCTGTTGTAGGTTGGGATTAATGCAAAGAAGCAAGAGAAGTTAAAGCAAAATATTTAGAAAATTTTCTAAAGAGACATAATTATTCCGGACGCCTTTAGAAAATTCCTCCCTCTCTAAAAAAAGAGAGACGATGTCAGGAAAAGAGGACGAATGGCAATCCTAATGATCCATCATTTCTTATAGCTTAAAATTTAAAGCTTAAATTTAAACCTTAAAATCTCATTATAGACGCTTTAGGTATCCTCTGTCTATCTCTCTTTCTCTTTCTTTCTCTTACTCCTCTAAGTAGTCCAACTCTAAGAATCACGATAGCCGGAGGACTTAAATCCTCGAACGAGCTATCGTGACACCGATAACACTGGCCGGGCCCACGCCAGGATCGTGCTCGAGTGTCGTCGACTATCCTCAATAGCGTTTTGTCTGGTTTCTCTCTTTTTCTTCGATTCTCTTTCAGACCTAGAGTCTTTGTTTCGTAAGACCTTAAATATCTTGATTTTCTCCCGCGGATTACTTTTCTAGGTCGACCGACAACATCTCGGGCATTCTTTAGGAACTTTTCGGATGGATTGCTTTCGAGATTTAAACTATCATTTATTTACAGAATAAATGGGAGGATATATGAATTTCGAATTCATATTATTATATTTGAAATTATACAATGCATGTTATTGTGTCATATTAATTTATAAATGAATCCTTTTCAAGTTATAATTAAATGAAGAATATTGAATATAACTGAATAAATCAAGAATATTATAAATAAATAGAATCTGATTCTCTTTTTCTCTATTTTTTTGCCGTTTATTACTCATTCTGTTTAAAAGTCGCTAACGCAAAACATCATTGTCTGTAGAATGAAACAACAGTGTAGGATCTCCGAAATTGTGTCATTACAAATAAGAGAATAGAAAAGTTTTATTCGTTCTAATGAACACCAAGTTAGAAAGAGCTGATTTTTCTTGTCTCTTTGTAGCTTTTCTTTTTCGTTAGCCTCCGGCATCGCTCTATCGCCTGTCTTACTTCCGGAAGAAGATTCTTTTTAGTCTATCGTACGTTCGTGCAGGCGTTTCTTAATCACTTTCAAGTCGCTCGAAATCTGTTCTGTTCGTTCCACAGTGTGGCGATAAAAAATTCTCATTAAACTACATGTAAACCAAATCTCGTATCTTAAGATGAACACTTTGAAATCGTTTGCTATGCTTTCTTTTTCAGTTTGTTATTTTTTATATAACGGTTTCACGGAAATATCTCCGCGATGCCATTAATATTATATGAAGATTATACGTTGAATAATATAGCATCACGAAGCTAAATATTAAGAGAGTTCTAAATATATTTGCATTATTAACGAATCGGTGATTCGGTAAATGATCATTACCTATTTGTGACTCTCTTTACATTATGCATAATGTAATTTGTTATGAAAGGGTATTAATATCGCTCGATATCAGAATCTGACTTTTCCAATCATGTTTTCCGTTTACACGCATGATTGTCATTAGTACGATTCGTTACGTTTTAGTGTCATCATTATCGTGTCATACGCATTATCAATCCCATTTCGGTGATATATCTATA